ATTTGGAGAAAAGACGCTTGCCTAAAAATTAAAACATTTGGTGTTATTTTTAATATACGGGAAAAGATCCCGATGTTACACAACAACCTTGAAGCTTAAATATTTTGGAAGAATTACTGTGTATAATTATTGCTATATTATAAGCTTTCAATTGATCGATTTTACAATAACGAGTAGGTATGTATTATAATTTTATAAATTTATTTGTAACGGTTTCTGTTATAGTTTTGTAGTTTGGAATGACGATTGTTATGTTCAGTTAATTACTTTAAATAGTGCAAAGTCATGAAATTTATTTTGAAGAATTTTGTTTTTCTTCCATTTTTGGCGAGTAATAGAGCTCAAATTTGATCACATGTCCGTCTATACTCTAAAGATTCAATTATTAAATTTTATTTTTCAGAGAGTTTTTTTAATAGAGTGATATTTTAAAATTTGTATTTTTAACGAAAACCGTCTTAAAGTATGGAGGCTGAAATTGAATGCGAGTCTAGTGGGATATCTATCATATAGTTACTAAAAGTTATAACATATACAGGTTTGATAAAATGATCCGACGAACAAATAAAATGATGCTAGTTAAACGTATGACAACAATTGTGAAAATTAAATGGAAAATAAATAACTTAAATATATTCAAGTCAGGATATTTCAAAAAATAATATTTTGAAAAAAGTAATTACGTTTTAAACTAATCACTCCAAAAAAATATTGATAGTCAGATTTACCATTTACAAATTGGCTATTTTGAAATCATAGAAAAAAGTTTAAACCAAATTTTTATTTTTAGTTTCATTGAATGAAAATTTAGAAAAAAATTCTTTAAATATAGCGCAAGCATTTATAAGTTAATGTAAAAACATTTTTTTTTTAATATCGACTGTAAAAAAAGTAATTGCATTAGTCAGTTCTCTCTGTTACACCTTGTATAATATTATAGTGAGTATTTATGGTTACTGAACCGCATTTGAGTCAACAATTCTATATCTGCACGTCAATCATCGCATGCACAACAAACGATAGACGTCTTAATCCAACGATAGATCGCCAGATCGGTACTATTTTATTATAGTCCTGCCTTTGTCCGACAACATGAACCGTTCTGTACTCACAGATGGCAGTCACCCAGTTTGTCCAGACAAACATGTTGGCAGGATATTGCAATCTCTCGAAGAGCCGATTAAACGTCATGCCCACGCGGTAAATGCTAGTCCATAAAATCGCTTGTTCTTCCTATTCAATTTCAGGAATATTACGTCGACCTATTTGGATTAAGCGGATATTTAAATACATTGTAAGATAATCAAGATTTTCGTGGACACAGAACAGTGATTTGTTATCATCTAGCTGTCATCGACCTACTAATCACTTGCGTCGTTTATTATAATGTTACTAAGCTTTTATTAGCAAAGTTTTTAGTTGCTTTCAAGCTTCAACGGATCGAAAAACTCGATTGATTTTAATCGGGGGTTATTGAATGCACTGAAAAATTGTTAGATACCTATGCATTAATAATCGTGATCAAAATATGCAAAAACTCATATTTTAAAACTTTCAAATGCCCTTTTAAATATAAATTTATTTTTAATGCAACTATAAACATAATTAAAACAGTATTTTAAGCAAAATTAGTCCTTGTCGAGATTTATTATTTATGTTATTTTGTTGTACAAAACTCAATTATTTATCGTAGGTACTTGCTACTCATTTATTGATGTTTAAAAATAACGGTTAATGTTCGAAAGCAGAACGTAACTTAAATATTCATTGTTTTTGCAAATAAAAGTTAAATTATTAATGGCATAAACTTTCATAAGTTCATCGACTTTGTCGAGTCCATTCAATTCCAAAATCCGATTGATTATTATTATTATTTAGGTATGTGAGTATAGATAACATATTTTGTACTATTATTTTATACCTACGGGCTACGATATAGAATCATTGATTAAACTGCAATCATATGGCCAAATCATATATATATTTATATATATATATATGATGTGCATGGCGTATATAGACAGTGTGTGTGTGCAATACATACAAATACAAAGTATACATTAAATTCGACGACGGCGAAGACGAAGACGACGATCGCCGACGACGGAGGCTCATAATATACCACTATAACCGAGTGTGTATATAATTAGAAAAACACTGCTCGTCCCTTCACCCCTTCCACTCACACCCTATCGCCACCGAAACCGTCTTCCTTCCATCACGTTGTGCACTACTGCAACAATACGCACATGTATATAGCATACATATATATATATATATATATATAATATAAGTATGTATTGTATAGTGATATATAGCTGTAAACATATATACACACATTGCACTCGTGTATAAATTAGTTATTATTAGTAAAGTGCGGTGGCGGCGTATTGGCAGCCGGCGGCGGCACGCCCGTCTTAGAACTCTGGCGCTCATTGCCATTGACGTCGTCGGCATTGGATATATTATTATATAGGTACGCGGCGACACGAATTGATGCATCGTTTCGCAATCGTCACACTGGTGTATTATAATAGTCCGTCACCTCGGTCGCGCGTCGTCCGTCGATTATAATTTAATAATATAATACCCACGATCATCGCGTTATTATACACAATATGTAGGTACGTATTGTTGTTATTATTATTATTATTATTATTATTATTATTATCATTATTATTACTGTCGTCATCGCGGTCTTACGCCAATATTGCCGCACACTCGTGATTCGATACGTTTTTTTTTTTTTATCACAAAAAGTTTGATCGTTATGGCTTTCTACTTACTTAAAGTCGTCTGCTATTAGATATTGATTGTAATAATTTTAATTGATTTGTATGTGTCGTGTGCGAAATCAACACAGGTTAATCGGTTGTATAATCAACGATCACGACGACGACCGGTCAAATTGAGAAATAAAAATTAAATAAAAAAGTTCCGACAACGAGTGCCCGAGTACTATATTGTATCTCACATATATGTACGTATTATTGTCTATTGATATAATTAGTCTTAACATAATATGCGTATATGCATGCAATTTACTATATATGCTGTAATATGAGACTGGGCATTACAAACGAATTAATTTTTTTCAACGTAAACTTTTAAATTAATAAAGTCTAAAAAAATTATTTTTTAATTTGATGAATTAAAAAAAAATTAATCAAATTTTAACTTAACGAGGCTAAAAAAACTTGTTCATTTGCCCAGCCTTTCTTTATCTTTACGTGTCACACATTCACACAAATTACATCCGTATAATTAATTATTATTGTAGGTACTTACGAGTACTTTTCTTTGACGATGTACTGGACGCATGCAGCTAACAATATGAAACGTTATACAATCATAATTCTGATCAGAATTTTATAACGATTAATAAATGATGTAATCGATTTATAAATACATAATACCGAGCAAAAATATGACCTTTCACGATTACTTTAATATTCGTATACAATCGTTTAGTCTTTTATATAAAAATTTAAATTACGACCAAACACAATATTTAGCGAAATGTAGACTTGAATTATATATGATTGACTTTTAACATTGCTAAACATTACTATTTAATAATAATCATTAATTAGTTTAAAAAATAAAAATATTATATCCAACGCATACATATAATATTATTACCTATAACTTTTACATAAAGTTTAAAGTTTAGAACAATGATAAAATCATGTTTTAATATTTTAAAATGTATTAAGAGAAGCTCAAATTGTTTAAACGAATAAATTGTGTAAAAAAAATACAAGTAAACATTTTAGCTTTTAGGATTTTTGAAATTTATTGACATGATAGGATGTAAATACAAGGGTAGGTTAGATAGTACGTATATCGAATATAAAGAAGAACTATTCTATACATATTTTGGTATTTAATATAGTTAATCAAAATTAATAAAAGTTATACATCTACTAATAAATCTAAAAATAATTAATTAATTATTCAATAGTGTCATGAAATTAAAATATCTAAAATGTATTAATATCTTTATGATATTATTATAAAATTGAACTGTTTTTAAAAAGTTAAATTTTTCCAAACAAATTATTTAATTAAAATATAACTATTGGTAAAAAAATTCAGCGATTTTTTTCTAACTTAAGTTGAATAAAATTAAGAATTTACTAGAAAATTCGAAAAATTCTCTCTATATAATATTGGTAAGATCAATTATCTACTTTCTTACGTATTTAGATGGGTTGAATTGCTATACCACATATAAATAGTGAAGTTGTAGCACTTAAAAACGTAGATATTAAAAAAATATTATTTACTTATAAGGTTTATAAGTAAATAATATTTTTTATTAGTTATAACATCTATTTTACCACTCAAACACTTAAGTTAAAAATAAAGCAATACTTAAGCATATTGTATAAAATGTACACACATATTGCATTAGTAATAAAGGATTGGCAGCAGTATTTAAAGAAACTAGTCTCTTAATAAATTCCTAACAATATCGAGTAATAACTAATAGGTTATATTGATGCTACAATTTTTTTTTATTTAGTTTTACACGTGCAAAATATCAAAAACAAGTTTATAGAGGATAGTGGATGATACAATAATGTTATGAATGATTGACAAGTCGTTTTAGAGCCAACAAATCCACTGTAAAGAAATATAAAAAAAATAATGGGTTTGAGTAAATTTCGTCTAGTACTTTTTTATCAAGGTGCAATATTTAGATTTGATTTAATTATTTTTAAATACTTCAGCTACAATGAAATTTTAATTCTAAAAATATTTACAAAATTTTAGGTGGCGTACTCAAAAATTAAGTTTAAAAAAAAATTATTTTTGGTGTCATAGTTTTAAAATAACATTCAAAATTAAGTTATTTCATTATACACGAACACGACCACTTGAGCAGTACAATAATTTTAAACCCTCAATATTAAACATTTTTTACATTAAACCATAGACAATTTATTTATTATTAAAAGTACCAAATTTTAATTAAATATTTTATTTATACATAGATGCGAAAACTACGGCCTAGCTATCAATACGGCTAAAGTCAACGACGAATCCACCGAAGACCCCACAGGTGGTGCTGTCGCGGAGGCGACAACACCCCTGACGACGGGTCAAGTGACCAAAGTGGTCGGAAGTGCCATCGGCGTTGCCTCTACCGAAACCACCTCAGAGGACGTAACCATGGAAGTACAGATAGACGACGAGATAGACGAAGATGACGGTGGACGGTACTCATCGTATTCAATGTCATCGGTGGAAGACGAAAACGGCGATGGCAGTGATGGTAGCCGTCAAAAAACTGTGACAAGAGTGGCATGTGACGAAGACAACATTGACAACGAATTGGAAAATCAGACCAAGGACCACAGTTGTAGCAGTGTTGCAGTAAACACTACTTCACCACCCCCAGACGTCATAATGCATCACAACCACGATGTCATCAAGCGAAAAGGTTCGAGACGAAACCGACGCAAACGCCGGTCGTCTACCACCACCACGGGGGTTAGCGATTTAGATGTCCACATGGCGCCGGTAGTCGGCGAAGAGGAACCGTCGGTACCATCGCCGTCACTGCCGGAAGAAATTACGACGAATACCGTTGACACAATAGCGTCAATCAATAAAGATAGTACCAATATTGAAAACAACGACGATATCACTTCCAAAATCGTCGATAGTAATATTATCGATAGCGTTACGACGGTCGTCGACACTACCCTCGCTGAAGACAACAGTGACCGCCAGTCCACGGCGATGACTACACTGCAATCACAACAGGTAGGGTCTAACCATTAATGAAACTCGTTAATCGTACCTATATTTCGTCAGTTCCCATAACGATATGATTTTCTCTATCTCTATACAGCTGCAACAGGAGCCATCATCGATCTCGGCCGCTGTACAGGATATGGTGGGACCAATGGTACACATTGCAGCCACTGTAGCAGCTGTCCAAGATGTGGAGAGTCGGTTATTGGAAGACTTTGAGTGGAAGCTCAGCGAGGTGCACCGGCAGTGGAAACGCCGTCTGTCGGAGCACGAACGTAAATTAGCCGACGAGATGGCTACGCGACAGCGTGAGATGAACGACGATATGGACCGGCGGGCTTTAGAGCTGGCAGAAGAGGTGATGAAGCGTGAACAGAGGATGGCTGAGGAGATGGTGGAACACGAGCGGCACCTCAAGAGTGTGTTGATAAAACGGGAACGAGATCTTGAGGAACGGGCGGCCGCGGAGATGGCTGAACGGAAGCGAGAGTTCGAGACGATGGCCAAGACCGAAGTGGATGCACGGAAACAAATGATATTGGCCGAGGCAGAGGCAAAGGTGGCCAGGCGAGAGAAGGAACTCAAGGCTGAGGCAGAGGAGGCGATAGCGGTGGCAAAAAGGGAGCGCCGGCTGGCCGCGGTGGAGGCTTCGAAACGCGAACGGGACGCTGTGGCGGCGGCGTTGGCGGAGGCCGCAAAGCGAGAGCAACAGATATTGGCAGACGCGGACAAGCGGGAGCGAGACCTCCTGGCCGAGGCCGATCGCCGTCAATGGGATATGGTTGAACAAGAGGTGGCCAAGGCGGCCAAACGTGAACGAGAGCTGCGGGCAGAATGGGCTGCCCGGGAACGGCAACTGGCCGCGGAGTCAGAGGAGCGCGAACAACGTGCGGTGGAAGCAGCCGAAAGGCAAGTGCGCAGGCAATGGCGGCAGTGGGAGAGGGACGCGATGGCCGAGAACAGGAAAGTGGTAGAGGAACAACAAGAGCGAGCCGAGCGTGAGCTGGCCACTGCCCGAACTGCGTGGGAACGGGACCGAACTGACCGAATCGCCGCCCTGGAAACAAGAGTATGTATAATTGTTTTGTTATTATTCAGTGTGTCGTATGATATAATTATTATTGTTGTTGACCTAACTTACAAGTTAAAACCGTAAAAATGCCATGCACGTGATAAATTCATTTTTTTTTTACAACTCATCAATGTCACCATATATATGTTTTAAGAAAGCAAAAAAAAAATTATACTGAAGAAACAATGATACACATTGTTCAGTATATTTCATGAGAATGTGGTTAAGAAAATGTTCCATTGATATAAAACGTGTCTCGTATTTTTCCCTATTGTTATTAATGCGATGGTTCAGAAATTAGTTTGAGAAAATAACAAAAATATTTTACCAAATTCTGTACATATAAATTAACTAGCACAGAATCAGGTAAATATATTCTATAAAAAATATAATAATATTTTAAAACAATTTGTACAAAATGAATTGTTTTTTTTTTTATTTATATATTAATTTATTATCGGATAAAACATGTGCTTATAAATGTAATGCATCATTTTTAAAGGTATACATTGAAAATTAATTATACTCTTTTACGTGTAACGTAGGTACTTATTGTAATATTTATAATATTAAATTGATTTTGTTACCTTACTTAGTTCTATTACTGGAAACTGGAATGGTATAAAAACGAGTATTTTCATGCAACAATTATTCAATAGTAACGAAAAATGAACTTTATTACATATTTACATTTATTCTTAAGTATATTTTATTAAAGAGTTAAAACCTTCTCTAGTGTTTGATTGCATAATTAAGTTTCATTTGATTACCAAACAATTTTAATGTCATGTGTATTTATATATATATCTTATGCATTAAATTTAGTCAAACCAATTAAAATTTACTCGTAAAAATTGAAATGAGAAATCAAAAACTTATTTTTATTTTGTAAGTAACGATGTGTTACTTACCTATGCTAGCTATATCTCTTATGTAGAATCAAAATAAATTAATATCTGTAAAAATTACTCTTTGATATATAATTTCGTACCTACTTGGTTATCGTCTGAACATTTATAATAAAAGTATTGATAACAAAATAAATATTAAATATTCGTACAGAAATAGATTGTAATAGTATCATCTGGGTGAAAATGTTATTAAACAATATTCCCTTTATTACCGATTATATTTTTACCTATTTAACATTGGAGTTGCACGATTAGGAATTTTTTCCTGTTTGGAATTCAAAATCCTAACAACGTTTGGGCTCTCGATAATCCTAAAGAATAGATAAGTAATTTGGGCATTAAAATGAAAAAAGAGTTTACGCCTTTTTTTTAGAAGTATATGAGCCATATTAAATAGCACATTATATAAATATTTTATACTATACAATAGGTACTAACAATACAAATGAGAAAATAAATTTAAAAAATATATATTTAAAAACATGAAAATGTGTTTCGTTAAATTTGTATAGTACCTTGTCAATAGAATGATAAGATTTTGATATTTTGATAATTAAATAATTAGAAAATTAGTATTTACAGATTTATTTTCGTCATTGCGATTGTCATTGCAGTTCTACTATGTATAATAAATTTCACAGCTACGAGATTTCGATCTACATATTTTATAAAGTTACCTACGTGACGTCAAAATGACGCTCTATTACCTACAGCTTTTTAGTTTTATATCTTGTTCATAATATATGATTTCTAACTTTTACATTTATATATAACTCACATAAAAAAGGTATATATTTTACGTCCATAAAAACCTACATAATACATATATATTTATTATCGTCTACAATGCCCTTACCTAAACGTGTTACGACATCAGGAAAAATAGTGCCAAAATTATTATGATTTTGTGCCCACTGCCCGAACGTGTCATGTTTTGAGATAAAAATATAAAATACCCAAACGTATCATAGCCCTTTATATGTTATTTGAAATTTATCATATCAATAAATACCTACTAAACAGCAATTAATATTTTCGGAAAAACCAATGTATATTTTTTACTTTTTGTTACTAGCATTTCTGCATTTCTTGTTTTTGTACAATAATATTGAAGTGAATCAATTCCAAAAACTTATGTAATTTACAAAAAAAACATGTATAATTTCGAAGCATATTTTTTCGATTTATCAAAATTGTTGTTATATAAGGTTTAAAAATATTACAGAAAGCGCATTATACAGTCAAGTCTCGATAACTCGAATTTCAGAGGGAATACAAATAATTTCGACTTTTGTATTTTTTTAAGTTTTATACCTCAAACGCAACTTAAAAATACATCAAAAGAATTTGAGTTATCGAGGTTTCCGAGTTATTGAGGTCGACTACAATTGTAGTTTTATATGATTTAGAAGTCATTGCATACACCGATCCCTATGTTGATGTACTCAAAACACAATAATAATAAAAAATGTATACCTATATATATTTTATAAAATTATAATTACATGGGTGATAAAACTTCTTAGAGTTAATTTAGAGGAGGACGCTATATTATCGTATAGCATTGATGGCAAATCCGTGGCACGTAAACAACGGTTGAAAGCAATAAAAAAATAAAAAATGTATTATATTACTTTTTATTTTTAATAATAAATAATAAAACCTCAATTTTTTCTTATTTATAATATATGCATACATAAATATTTTTCGTAATTTAATGGCACCCAGAAAAAAGTAATTATTTTTGGCACGTAACTTTAGAAAAAAATTGCCATCACGTACGTTGAGACAGTAGTAATAAGCTACGATCACAAGGGTTTAACTCTTTAACTTTATTTTTTTTAACTTTTAATAGATGTTTACCCTTTTCTGTATCTAATCTCACTACCTGCATATATCTGTACAGTAAAAAATGTTTTGATCTTTAGTAGTACGTTAAGTAAAAATATTGAACAAATAAAATATCCCAGTGTTATGCATTTAAATCAATTATGTCTCCTGTGAATGAATTGTATAATTATACAATTTATTGTCATTCGCAGTGGACGGAGCGCATGCAGGATGCTGTTCAAGCGGAACGAGCTAGGGGAGCGGCGGCAGCGGAAGAGTTGCGGCGTACTAGTCAGGACGAACAGAAGCGAATAGTGGCCGCTGCAACAGCGGAAGCTGCTGCCGAAGCTTGTCGCAAAACTCGGGCCGAAGCAGACGCTGAGTTGGTCAAACTGCGAAGGGCTGTAGACACGACGGCGCTGTGGTATGAGGACTTACTTGACGCGGCCCGAGCAGAACGGGACCGATGCACGGGTGAGTAAATGACAGTCAAATGAAGACTATATAACTGCGAGAGACTACTTTAATCGTTAATTTTATTTAAAATCCATGTTTTAAGTGATTGTAATTTTGTTTCTGTATAGAAAGGGCTGACGAAGCGGAACGGAAACAGTCGGAAGCGGAACGGAAACTGTTGGAAGCGGAACAAAATCAGTTGGAAGCCGAACGGAAATTGTCTGATGCTGAAAGCGCCAAAGCGAAAGCGGAGAAAGAGCTGGCGGAAGTGACCAGCTGGCTGACGGCAATGGAAATTAATCTGGCCACAGCAAAGAGCGATCTCGCCAACTTGGATAATTTATTGGTAGAATCAGCCAATCGGCAGGCGGAAACTGAGAGCAAACTGAACGCCGCGGAACATAAAGTGAACGAAATGGAAAAAAAGTTGACTGCCTGTGTGGCAATGCAATCAGCTAATAACCGCCGCGATAACCTCCATGAAAATGACGAGGACGAAGACGAGGAAGAGAACCACGAGGATGACGAGGACGGTGACGGTGATGTCGAAAGTGCAGCTACAGGATGTGGTGTTGCCACCGACGAGGATGATATAAATGGTGAGACTGAGCCGAAGAGCTGCTGCGTCCGGGCCGTCAAGTAAGCTAATTTGTTTACGTACCATCATTTTACTATAGTCGTGTAGTTTAGGTGGCCTGGTCCTAGCTTATAAATTATTTTTTTTATTTCTGTTTGCCCTTCTTTCACTTAATGGAGTCGACAACTCCTGACCAACAAACTCATAGGACTCTGCTCCCCTTCACTTTTTCCCCACGATAGTTATTTCCATGCCATTCTCTATTCTGTCCATCCATCTCTTCATCTGTTTTACTTTCCCTCTCTCCCCTTCTACATGAATTTCCATAGCTTAACCCACAACTCCCTGTCTCGGATGCATCTCTCATCACATCAAGACAGACCTATTCATTTTAATTTTGTAGAATACCGGTGCCAATCATACACTACCCCTAATTAATTAATTTCTTATTCTATTATTCCTAGTTACTCCAAATTAGCATTCTCATCTATTCTTTTGTTAGGCACTGCCCAGTACCCAATATTATGTTAAATACTACATGATTAGTCTACAACTGCTCTATAAAAACTTCCTTTTAATCTCAACAGAATCAGGTTGTTGATGATTGAAATACCTGACAATTCTATTCACATTATCCATCTACTTATAATTCTATATCTGACGTAATTTTCAAAACCACGATTTTTTTTGCAACCTAAGTACTTGAATCTACTTTTCTCACGTAGCACTACATCATCATATAAATTTCTAGTATTTCTGATTACTTGCTCCGAAATCATACACAATCGTCTTTGTTTTACTCCAATTTTCCTAAGTCCTTTCCCTTCCAGTGTTATTCTCTAAACTGCCAATTTTTCGTTACTTATCTTGGGTTTTCTCCCACTAACACATCATCTGCAAACATCACGTACCTCACCCAGTATACGATGTGCTAATTAAATGGGAATTCAGTAGCCCTAACTTGAAATATAATGCAGATATTCTAGTGCAGTGTTTTTTAATGTAATGTAAGACAAAATAGAAGGATAACCTATGTATACCTATCTATCTTTTACTAAACTCTATAAAAAAAAATCTGAATTGGTTGAATTTTGAATGAATGAAAGCAACTTAAATTTAAAAAAATACAACGTATTATTGTAAAATTGTATGGTTTTCATACTTCAATAACTAATGATAATCTAATGGGCAATTATAACTAAGACTACTATACTATTACCAAAACACTATTCATTGAAATTGTATGAATACATTTTTTTTTGTCTTATAATATCGTTCAATATATTCACCATGAACTGTTATGCACAAGTCAATTTTACAGGGACATTATCTTGAAACGAAAATATAAGTCATTGGGAATATCTCACACTTCATTTTTTTTTAATTATAGCTCCTATTTCGTTTGGAAAATAATAGGCCAATAAAACTGATATGTGCATGTAGAATGTTATGGTCATAGGTCTCTTAAGTCTTGACCAAAAATGATTTATCTTATTTATGGCATTAAAGCGTTCAATGAAAAAAAATATTAGTTATACTACTTACTCCATACCAAAAAGATGAATTTGTCATATTCAGAAAAAAACAATATGTACAAACAAACTTAAAATTATTTACGTTCACATAACAATATTTTTTTATTTAAATCACAAATATGTGTCGATTTGGGTTTTTCCGTTAATATTCAACAATATGGTACAACAGTATTGTGCTATTTATTTTCATGATAGTTAACTAAATAAAAACGTATACAACATATACACTATACAGGAAACCTTTTTTTAATGATGGACTGATCATAACAATTAAATTACCATTTAATTCCTATAGCATCCGCATGAACTTCACTAACATTATTCATGAGTAAATAACTGTATACGAGTAGGCACTTTTATATAATAAAACTAAAAATATTCTTATAAGGTATTCTTGTATGTAGGCTTGTATAAAGTTTGTACACAATTGACAGTTTTTCTTCCCTTGTACTAAATTTTAATTATTGCTAGAATTATTTCATAGTGTATTAGATACCAAATTTTGTATTTTATCCAACAGGAGGCGCGTAGCACAACTCATTGTGTCACACGGTCAGCGGATGGAAGAGCAGCGTGAACGGCATGCTCGGCAAATGCGTCGACAGTTGGAGTTGTTGATGGACCAACGTCAACAGCAGCACCACCATCACCATCAACAGCAAAAGCACGAACAACACCAGCAGCAACAGCAAAACCAGCAGCCACAATACCAGGAGCAGCAGAAACAGCAACAGCGGAATGATCTAGACGAGCATCATCAGCAGGAAGTGCACCAACAGCAGCTGCAAAACGAGCAGCAGAAAAATCAGGACGAGCAGAACGAGCAATGGCAACTCCAGCAGCGAAGGCGTCGACCCCGCGGCGGTGGAGTCGGTGGAGCAGAAAGAGCAGAGGTAGGCAGTGATCACAGACCACAACAGCATTCGTCACCGCCTCCGTGCAATGGTGGTAGCGGAAGCAGCAGTAGCAGCCGGAGTAGCCGGCGCCGGAACAAGCACCGGCAACAACAACAGCAACAGAACCCGAACCTTCGGGGACCTCCACCACCGCCCAGGCCGTCCGGGAGACCGACAGCATGACAAACAACCAACGCCATTGAATGTTTATTATTTGTACTCATATGATAACTGTTTCTATTGCGTGGCGTGTGCCCACTTTTGTTTATAATTATTTATTTACGGCTGTATTTATTTATATTTATTTATTTGGGTTTTTTTTTATGACGCGCGTGTTTCAAAAATACTCATTTACTATTACTATACTACTCATTATATATAATAAACATTATTATATTATACTATGTACCGTGGCCGTTGTCGAAAGTGTAAACCGGCCACGAACATCCCTCAGAGACGACGAGATTCTCAACCCCTCACCCTCCATCGCCTTCCCTTTTCATAATAAAGAACTTTACGCACATCAAATACGATGTATTGTCTGCCCGAGATTTGTTTTGATCTATGTAACGGTCTCTATTTTATCTACATAGCTATACCTAAAGTGTTTACTTTACACCCACAATTCATGGTCATATTATTATAGTTAATGTTTCACAAGATGATAAATAATAAGGCAACTAGTACCTACGTGATAACAGCTGCAGAATGCCGAAACACACTTATGCACAAGCAAAACATCGATGCATTGTGGCTTATCAATGAAAAAATATTCAAAATTCGACCATTGGTACTTTGCTCACTATGTACCTTCAAAAAGAATGGGAGCGTTCCTTACATCCAAAACAGGATACAATTTTTGAAAAATATATCTTTAAGACCTTAAATTAACATTTTTATTACAAGGTAAAAGACATTTTAATGTTAGTGGTTAAATTGGACCACAGCTCAAATTTATAATAATAATAAATTATAATTGTACTACTTACGTTTGTTTTCTTGAGTGTTTCTTTAATAATACACAATTAACAAGACAATTATCAACATTAAGGCGCTGTGTGTAGGCAATGTATTATGTTAAGGTAAATAATTTTAAAAATATTATTAGAATTAAAGTGAGTAAATATGTGTTCGTAACTAGAAGTATAACTGTATAAGTATAAGGGTATACAATTTATTATTTGGACATAAAGCCTGAAAAGTGCAATTAATTACGGGTTTAATACACGTATAACCGGATTCAATTATTTAAATATCTTTTGTTAGATGCACACATATTTTATAAGTTATTGGGGAAGTAGATTTTTTTCTCATATAATATTATTACAAAAAACAAAATTTAGTAAGTAGGAAGAGCTTTATGTAATGTTTGTAGTGTACAGCTGCATTGCAGCATTCCTACTAGGTCGTTCACAAACAAATTATTTAGGTACGTGTACAATAATATTTCATGAAACGATTTCATAGATATATATATATAAAAAAATTGTACTTTATTTATGTTTTCAAAGTAAGACTGACGATGCATGAATATTGAATATGCATCACAAGTATTTGTTCCGCCGAAACAGAGCTGAAAAATCATTTCCTATGGTGTAATACTTGTAAGTCGTAGTAATACATTCTGGGGAAAAACATGTCTGTACTTTGTACAGTTATGCCATCACAACTACTTTAAACATGAAGGTTTTTACTAAACAGTGAAACCATGAATTAATATATTATCATAATTCGTCAGTAAAACCCAGTGATGTGTGTACAGTTCATGATAGACAATTATTCATTTAAATTAGACACATGAATTGGCAAGTTTGAACTGACAGTATTATGTACTTGACCAAAAATAAAGAATAATAATTTAACGAATGACGTGGTAACTTGATACAATTAGACTTTATTTTATTTAACCCTCCGTTAGTTGCGAAGTTTTTCGTAACGTCAGTAGTCGTGAGGGTACAAATATACCCCAATACTATTTATTGTTCAACCATCATTCAGATTGATATATTTGTACCACTAGGGGATTAGCCAGCCAGCTGGGGGGGAGGGGTTGGTGTTGAAACCCCCATTTTCATAATCCTGGCCACGTCTCTGTGTTCCATGTGTGACTAGCGGAGGGTTAAGTTAATATAAGTTGTTATTTAGAGTTAATTTATGATATAAGAGGATATAAGAGCTCTATTTGTTTTCTCTCTGTGACTCACGTGAAATAAATAGTAATTTGAGTTCAGCAGAACCAACCTGGGTCTGTTAACTTTATAGTGTACAGCGAAATGAAGTATTATCAAAGTTCTGACTATTATCAGTGTTTTTCTTAAGAAATTTAAATTTAAATTCAACCTTTTGTCAATACTTAACATTTTTTAAACTCAAAACCTGCATACAATGTGAAACATCGTATAAAAAAGCCAACTTACAGAAACAGATTATGTTCTGAACGTTCGCATTATCGTGACTCGATTAGGTATAAACAAGTATTATGTATATTAAATACATTGGTAATATAAATGTATAATAATAAAATGCATTATTATAAAATTAATTCTAAAATTTAAATCTTAAAACTCTAACTATATTATATTATTAAGATTCAGGAGTTCGTAGTACAAGCCTCTATTAGTTTTCTCATTATTCCTTCTAAAATTAAAATTTTTAGACTTTGTTCATATCATTTACATTATAGGTAGATTTTTTTTATTTAACTTTAGCAGCTTCGGCGACAAGGGCCATTAGCATTATACATTATATTTCATTTATTTTTGGTAACGATTCAATTAGAATAATATAGTACTTATAATTATTTGTTGTTATTAGGTACATTAAAACATCGAATTCATAGATATTATATAGTAACATCGTCATTAAAATGTCAAAATTAAATTTGTAAGAATGCTCATTAGTGCAATTTATTATTATTAAGCATGCAAATGTTTTGTGAGTATTCTTTGTTATTTTACCTGTCCAAATAAATTTAAAAAATATTACATTTTCATCAATAACGGAACCTTAGATTAGATTTTAACCTACAACCTAACATATGATTTAGATAATTTTTAACTAGGTACAGTGATATTATACTCATTAACGACGTACCCTCTGTTATACTAAATAATATCAGACCGAGTTCCCTCTTTTACCTTAAATTTTTTTTTTTAACACATAATGGTTGTACCAGATATGGATACATTTATTTTCTCCGTATTGACAGTATTAAATTAACATCTACGATTACGAGCCACGACTATGAAATAAAACTTGTTTGCACGACAATCAAAAGCACTCCAACAGAACGACTTGGACATCATATAATAAATTCGTGTTTGTATGAAACTGATATGGGAGTATTTAAATAATAGGTACCTATTAAGCCGATACTGAATAGTTTTATAATAAGATCAATATAATTCTGAAAGGAGTCAAAATAATTAAAATTAAATTAAGTAATGGCAATTTTTTCAGGCGTTTTAATTTTCTTAAAATGTGCTGCTTTCGATTTAATTTTGCTCAGAACCTAATTAATATCAAACAAACAAAATTAGTTACCAAAACGTATATCTTCCTAAGGCTGAGAGTTTATCCAACACAAGCCGCACGAATGTACAGTCACAGTATTGCAATTTAGCCGTAATGAATATTTGTATATTTTATTATATTAAACTTGTTTAGTTCTGTTCATGTAAGAATTAATGTCAATTAGAAAACCCCGATTTTCGGTGAATCGGAGTTCGATTTGATTCGTGAGTGTGCGCACTTATGTCATATTGTATTGATATATACGACCTACTATACACCCGCGGGTAGGTATGCGCACCAGTCGGATATCGGGACAACCGACGCTGAATTTTATAACATTATACATATACCTATGTAATAACAATATTACTATCAAACTACCGGCGATCTGTGCCGAAAAACCGGATGCCGCCGCGGCCGTCGATATACATATTAAATTTATATAATATTATGTAATATCATGCAAACATAAAAAAAATTCACATTGGTATTGCTGGAAAAAAAACCAAAAAATCGAAAAATTTCTTAAAATATACATACCGGTGTTTGTGTGTGTATGTGTTTATATCATGTTATACAGTTTGAGCAATACGAAAATGAACGAACGACGATATGGCCATGGCGGTGGTATTGACACGACCTACATATAGATAAGTCGTCGTTGTCGTAATAGGTAGGTACCTATCTTCGAAGTCGTCTCGGTCGTTGTTGTTGCGTCGTCGGCATTACCATCGCACACTCATAATCACACACAGTCATACGTAATATTGTAAATGTTCAACCGCGGGATCGAGCAGTGTGGTGTGTTACGACTTGTGTGGACAATTTTTTTTCTCACAGTCCCGCTAAAAATAAGACCGATTGTTTACCATATTATTATTTGACTTTGTAGTGTTTAATATTTCGACGGTCTTATTGTATCGTCGTATAACTACGGGCAAAATATGAATTTCAAGCATTGAACATTTGTGCATATTTGCGCCTATAAATTTGGACATCGTAAAAATAATAATATTTTTTTTAATGAATGGGAACTGGGCAAAATGTTATTCTTTACAGAACCCTTTGGGCAGTGTGAATTTAATCGAATTATTATTAAAAAGGAGCAGTCATACTTATTCGTATAAATAAATAAAGATGATGAACAATGACAGCAGAGGATTAGTATTATTAAAACAGAGCCTCATCTGCTGCATGTAAGTTAAGCAGGAAAAAAAGGTATTGTATGGTAGTGTATATCTTAGGTCTTGTTAGGAGTTGTATGTATAACTTTAACAATATTAAAATAGTTTTTGTAAATTTAAATTTCTGTTTCATTTTACCTGTAGATTTAAAAAAAAGATGTAAACAGATTTCGGAAGGAGAATAGTTCCGTGAGAAAATAATTACTTAAGTAAAAGTAAAATATAAACATTTTATACTAATACTATTTAATAGTCTTAGTATTTATTATACATAGCAAACTTTTAAGTCACATGGTTATTAAATAGGTACCAATAGCTTGCAATATTTATTTTATAAATTAAATGTACTCATTGGATGAGTTTGTTACATATATAATATTATATTATATAATAGTCTGTGTACTGTATAATACATTGCATTTATATATATGATATAATAATATTTTATTGTTGTATCTAATATCCGTCTTATTTTAAATGCGGATATATAAATGTTGGTATGATTCAAAATATTCCTGAAGTTCCTATATGCAATGCACATTAGAAATTAAAAATATGTATTGAACACAAATACAATTTCAAAATACCAGTTATTGGTGCCCTGTACACTGTTTATGATAACAATTTCCATTTTTTATTATTTGAATCAAACATTCAAATGTATTATAATTATACTAAGTAGTATAGTTCATGGTAAAATAGTTGGCTGACTTTAAATTCAAAATGTTATCAACAGATGTCAAATTTGGATGGAAATATGGAATACCAACAATACATATTCATAAAAATGCTAAATGTCATAATATTTCTTACCATACAGAAGGATAATTGATTTAAGTTGACGAATGTTCTTATACTAATACACTGTATAAATATTGTTACTTATAATATTCTGTTACATTTTACCGTAATGATTTTTTATAGCTGAAACAACTGCGTACAAGCTACGTTGCTAGCGGAGTCCTAATATATATTGACCGGTACAATTTCGTGGGGTGAAAAAATATTTCTTCACCCAAATATTATATCATAATATGCGTCATAAACTCTGCTGATGTACTTAACTTTAAAGCATATAACAAGAAAACTACATGTCGAATGTTAAAAATGTATAAATTGAAATTTACAGAAATATATTCAGCATCATAATTGCATACTGACAAACTCAGGATTAATTGATTAATGATTTCTAAATTTTAAATGTTTGGAAAATCGATTTTATTTTGAAAATATGAAATAATTTAAGGCTTAATCGCTAAGTGTTCTGGACTAACAGCGTTCGTTTAAAAATATGAAATAAACAGACGAGGAGGTACGTCTTTTATGTAAATATCGATCTCAAGACGGTGATTCTGAAACTTCGGTCGTGTATTTTCAACTTTTGTTCATACATCAATAGCATTCAAGTCATGAATATATTCACTGTTTCTCTGAACGTCTGAACAATATGCGTAGTTTATTAATTGAATTCAATGGTGGATGTAGTGGGTTATTTTGCTGTAGGGGATAATTGTCATCATCTATAATGTTCACGAATTCAATTAACACGGAGATCGTACTAAGTTGAATCGACTGCGAGGTTAAAGCGAACTTCATGTTGAAACGAAATAATATCTATGCTATATACATTCTATAATTAAACATTGGTTTTAGGATCTGTCAAAAGCACTCGGGAGGAAAACATAGACAGATTGACAGCCGAGTAAGCAATTATAAACAATGTCATGATTGTATATTAAAGGGATGGATCGATGCAGGTCTACGTATATATACGTAGATATAAAGCCGTTCAAGGCTTGACGTCATCACAATATATATTATAATGAACCTATTTCCAACTACATCATCCCAAGTCAACAGCTCTGATTCTGCGTACCTACCTAGCCCTTTTGTCGATCATATACATTATCATAAAAACAGAATCAAAGATCCCATATAAATAAGGCATCGCCAAATATCTTTGCATTGTACGTTGTATTTCAACGTACTATACGGTTTGCACATAACTGTCCCCTGTATAATACATAATTATATTATAATAATAATAGTATAATATATCCATCATAAGTAATACTTAGAGGCTAGAACACTATTCAGATAAATGTTAGAGCCTTGAAGGTTGATTCAACTTTTTAATACAAAATATCATGTTTAATATTGCAGGATGTGTGTGGCTTAAGGATTTTAAGAAAAACTCCTTTCAAATAATTAGGTATGTTTTATTATAAGTAAATATGTATTTAAATATTTATATAATATGTAATTAGTTTTGATGTTGTCTGTTCCAGTCATTTCACTATTTTTTTCACCAGGAATTTATTTAAAACTCCAAAACAATTAAAACATTTAGGAACCTGTTATTATTTAGAATATTAATTAAATGGCTCTTAATATACCTAGGTACCTACTATACATTTGAGATGAACATTTCAAACCAAACACTAACAATTTTATTTTATACAGTACACAACAATGGAATATTTTTCGTTCAAAGTGGGTCATTTTCAATTACAAGAAACATATTGTGTGTGCTTGACTGAAGGGTTGTATAATAATTGTTAAAATATTGAAAAATTATATAATTTTTTACGTGTAAAATATTATATCACGTACATTACTAAAAACACGAGTACAGTAAAATATATTAAAACAGTAAGCGTTGCATTACAATTGCATTATACCTACTCAATATATAAAGATAGATTCGAAGCTTTCAAATTTGCGTACTCAGCAATCACTCCGGTTAGCACTCAGACAATTATTGTGTACAAAACAACAACTTTGTATATTATAATATGAGCAGTATACAATATTATGTGAGTACCATTTGCATTTCAACTACATTACCTACTTAATACATGTGGAACTTTAAACTTTGAGTGCTCGATCTCTCCGGTTGGCACCCAGAAAATGTATATATATATACATAGAGACAAAAACAATAACTGTGTATATTGTTAAAATATAAAATATAAGGCATGACTGCATGAGTACTAAGTAGTATGTAATATGTTAGTATCTACCTATGACGTCGAAAAGTTGAAACAAATATTCACGAGGTTGAAATTATCGGAAATTGAATTATTCACCACCACCTGAGAGTTGTTTGTCACATTCTTCGCTGTAAATAATATTATATCAAGTTTGAATATTATATTATATACATATATAAGGATATAAACGTACATTTTAAATTCTCATGCATCACATTCGTCATAATATTATATCAAGTTTAAATATTATATTGTATACATTTATAAGGATATAAACGTACATTTTAAATTCTCATACATCACACTCGTCACATATATGAGGTACGCGGAGTTGTGATGTATGACGAGCGGAGTGCGAAGCTTACCATTTTGCACTTTTGTAATACAAATACGTCTTTTATATATTATATTCACCGCAGCTGCTGTGGGAAAACAAATATTGAAACATAGGTTTACTTGGGGTTGTGTACATAGTTCATTATATTTCTGTATCATTATTTTATAAGTTTGTGCTGTGGCATTATAAGAACACTTTAAGTTTCATTTTTTTTTTGTTTATCCAACTAAAAACACAAAATAATAGCATGGACTAAAAGCGCAGACAAATTATTACATATCAAATACACAGAAAATGTATTGTAATAATATTATTTTTAAGCACACTTAGTTGATGCAATATTGGTTTGAACTTGCTGATGTTTAGTATAAATGAAATATGAGAAAATAATATTTCCTAACTGAGTTTTCGCCCAAGCTCTCTCAAGCTAAATTTAATTAATTAAAAGATCAATTTATTTTGTACATATAATAATAATTAATATACCTAGATATTATAATAGGCATTAGAAATATTACAAGTATTATTTAGTACGTCACGCAAACGCAAACGCAATTAATTATTTATAATTCTTTAATATTTTAGAAGTTTAATTAACTATTATGTAATATAAATTCATATGTATTGAATTTGATTAGGCAATTTAATATTTATTATTGGAATACAATTTTTCTACATTTAATTTTTACTTTTACATACCCTAAGAATTCCACATATCTACAGTTACTTTATACTTAGCCGATAAAACATAAATATTATTTTAATTTAACTATGTATGTATAGAAACATGTAGCTAATATTTATTTTATTTAAGACTTCTCTTTTAGTTCATACCTATTATTTGTAATAATTTTATATGGGCATATATTATAGTATTATGTACAGGGCTCGTAAGTTCATGCATTTGCATATCAATCTTGTTAAGTTGTATTTAATGCTAGATGACATAGAAATCTATTTCAAGTTACCACAGTTAAATATGTGAAATCTTATTTTGCATGTTTTTGCATATTTAGAGGTTTTTTGCCTATTTGGCATATTTATGCATACTTCTACTTTATCGGGCATATTATACAATATTCTATTAGCATCTATCAAAAATGCAAATGAAAAATATGTATACAATTAAAAATAGAAATTGTACCATCTTTTCTTTTCTTATCTTCTTGATACTCGTAAATTTAACAATAGTTTCTTGAAACGACTAGGTCTACGAGGACTAACAACATCCGTCCATAAACCGCGTTATCGGGGCCAGATTAGACCGATGCTACGAACCGTCCTTTTATTCTAACTGGAGACTGTTTCAGTCGTTATTTTGACGTGTGTGCGTGTATGTTTGTTTCGTTAAATCCAACAATAATATTAATATCCAACATGCCGAAAGAAAAACCGTCTTCGGCCTTTAAACTAAAGCAATTAGTTACTGATTTTGGTGAAAATATATTCTCAACCGACAATAAAATATTATTTTGCAAGGTTTGTGAAATAAAAGTAGCTAGTGAAAAACGCTTTAGTATTGTGCAGCATATTAATACTGAAAAACACAAAGCATCACTTATTCGATATCAAAAAAAAAATGAGCGGAAAAATTTGCAACAACTTATGCCTACAACTTCAAAAAAGTCGGACTTTAATCTAGATTTATGTAGAGCTATGTTGGCAGCAAACATTCCGTTAAACAAGCTGGCAAATCCACAGTTTAAAAGTTTTCTCGCCAAGTATACTGGACAAAATATTCCTGTCGAATCTACATTGCGGATTGGATATATTGATGACTGCTACACCGAGAAAATGAATGAAATCAAAAAACTTATCAATGGGAAAAAAATATGGATTTCCATGGACGAAACGACTGACATCGAAGGAAGGTATATAGTCAACACAATTATTGGTATTCTGTCACACGATGGCCCCGATGAAATATTTTTAATTAATGTCGAAGAACTTGATAAAACAAACCACAGCACTATTTGTAAAGCGTTTGACAGATCATTGTTCTTAATTTGGCCTGAAGGGCTACATTATAATGACGTGCTGTTGTTTTTAACAGACGCAGCGCCTTATATGAAGAAAGCAGCACGTCATTTACAAGTATTTTACACTAAAATGGTGCATGTAACGTGTCTTGCGCATGCATTACACCGAGTAGCAGAAGACATTCGTTCACATTTTCCTGTTGTTGATGATTTAGTGGCTAATGTGAAAAAAATTTTCCGAAAATCCCCACATCGCTTACAAATATTCAAAACACTTGAACCTGATTTAGTATTACCACCAGAACCAATTCTAACTCACTGGGGAACATGGATTTTGGCAGCTATATATTATTGTGAACATTTTGAGTCAATTAAGCATGTTGTCGAATCGTTTGATTCAAATGATAGCGTAGCAATTAAAAAAGCTCAAGATGTATTGAAGTCTCAAACGCTGCAAGCAAATTTGATTTATATCAAATCGAACTTTGAATGTTTACCAACGGCCATAAAACAACTTCAAGAGCAAAAATTATCATTGTTTGATTCAATTAAAATAACCGAAACAATAAGTGGCATAGTTAAGAAACTTCAAGGGCAACATAGTGACAGTATTAAAACTAAATTAGATTCAGTTCTAAATAGTAATTCCGGCTACAAAATGATTTGCAAAATTTCCAAAATATTATCCGGTGAAGAGGAAAGTATGACAAATCTAGGACTACCCGAAGACATGACCCTTGATGATTTTTCGTATTTTAAATATGCACAAATCACCTCTACTGACGTTGAAAGGTCATTTTCAAAATACAAAAATTTAGTCACAGATAACCGTCGTTCATTAAAGCTTGACAACATTAAAAAATCGCTGATAGTACAATGTAATTTCTAAGGTAAATATAAATTTTGTAATTAAGTTATTAATGTTATTTCAGTATTAATGAATAAATTTGTTTTAAAAGTTTCAGATTTAAAATGAATAACTGGCACAGACGTACATTATACACAGTTCATGAAGCTCAGGAATAGTATTAAATAGTATTTAAAATCTATTTTTTTTTTAATTGTAACATAAAAATAATAAAATATAGCTATAAAAAAAATGAATGGATAATTCATGTTATTTCAAAAATAAATAATTATTAAATATAAATAAAAAAATTTTAAGTAAGCATTTTGAAGTGCATAATTTGAGATATTTAGTGCATATAAATGCATATTTTTTAACTTTTTAAGGCATATTTCAAAGCATATTTTGCCAATTTTAAGTGCATAAATGCATGCTTATTTAGGCATTTTTTAGGGCATGAACTTACGAGCCTTGATTATGTATATTAAAAACAATATCTAAATAAGTTTTACTACAAAATATGTTTTTCTTTATTTCTATTTCAACACTTTAATAGTGCCAAAATGAATCCTAGAGGCTTAGATGAAGATATCGAGTAGAGGCGTATTCAGAGAAATCATCTTTTATAATTAGATTCCATGTGCTTTGGTTTTTTGGGACACTTATGTGGGTATGAGTTATCTCGGAATCGTGGGTTTAAAAAAAAATCTGAAAAAAGCAAGTTGTGTCAGTATGTATGAGTTATGTATGACAACTATGGTGGCCCTAAGGGATTCCAAGCCTCAAGAATTTTGTTACATCAAAGGACTTTGGTCTCAGTGTCTACGTGGCTAATAAAAATGTACTCCCCAAAAATATAAATTCATCTAAATAAATCCTTTTACCATTGCCTTAAAAATATTTGTGATTACCATTGCTATTATTACTCTTTCTTATTGGAGAATATTAGGTTTATTACACTTTTTTTATGTAGAACAATTGAAAACATATTTTTATTAAGATGAACTGGAAAGGATATAATTTCATGTTTCTTGTCACATAATTGAGCCATAAATATCGAAGGTACATATTTTTTATTTTTATTCTCATAAAAATTGTTATTTGGGACTTTTTTCATATGCCATATCGACATCTGATAAAGTGTCTGTCCCATTGCCCCAAGCCCGGGGGCATACAATAGCCATACCCTCCATAATCCGTGTATGCGCACAACGCACGTCTATGGTTTATATTGTATTGTTAATTTTTTATAACACAATAGAATACGCTTATTCATGAATATACGTCGTACATGTGACATGTGTATGTGCAGTTGGCAATTTATATAAACTTATATTGCCATCACTCCCAGTCACCATCAACATGCTGCAAAAGTTATATATATATTATAAGGTATATAAATTGGTAATTTACCGTCATCACCCGTCATATTTATAGGATCATAATTTAAATTTTATCAAACATGGAATGTATCCATTAAATATATTTTATTACACATTATATTTTTTTTTAATATTTCAATCATACTCGAGTGACATATTGACAGTATCGTACTGTATTCACTATTCCCTATATTTATAACTTTAGTCGATCTATACAGTATTACGTTTCCAAAATATAAAATAATATTATGAACTGTCAATTTTCAAAAAACAAACTACAATACATTTTAAATTACAAATTATCCTTAAAAAAATATTCAGATTAAGTATTGTATTTTTTTTAGGTATATATAGGTACATTAATCTAATATTAGACATTCAATCATTCAGACCAAAAGTTTGTTAATTTATTATAATACTGGCCGGTATAATGGTGTATAGCTAGGAGCGTAGCTGGAACTGAACCAAGGGGAGGGGGGCTATTTAAATACTATATACTTGCATGACCTATATATAGTCTACAACCGTGATTTAAACATCACCAATAAAAAATTCCAAGGGGGAGAGGGGCTTCCACTTGTGGCCCTCCAGAGCTACGCCACTGGATATAGCCGTGGTTTTCTGATGCCCATTAGGTACTCATTACTCGCATTAGGTATGTGTTACATCAGTTTTTCGATTATCATTCTCTATTGCTATGTCCAATGCTTAAAGTTATAAATAATTAAGGTTTATAATTAATAATTGTATTTTAATAATATAAAGTAGGATAGACTTCCACAATGTGATTAATTTTATATATTTTTACCATTAACTTGTTCATACAAATATTTAAAAAAATCAATAAATAAAATACATAAAATGTTCACATTGTAGGAGTCCATCCTATTTTATATTATTACAATACAATTATTAATCATAAACCTTAATTATTTAGAACTCAAAATTTACTAATATTATTAATATTACATCATAATCAAAAATTGTTCGAAGAATATGAATTAATATATTATATCAAGTACCTTATACCTACAACACATATACACGAATTACTCTTCAATTATTTTACTTAAAACGGGAAATTATTATATTATGATACGTAACAAAAATCATTCTATAGTCGTGTATAATATTAATTTTTTAAATTGTATAATTGAAAATTGCAGGTTCAAATAAGTCCGAAATTGACAATATTATTGAAATCGTTTTATACGTACATAATAAATTCATTCAGTCCTTATAATGGTGGGTAGGTACTACGAGTTACTACATAATGTTTTATTAATTTTTAACAGTGATGATGGTTATCGATCAGATGCTCAGCAATCTGTCACATACTACATAAACATGTCTAAAATGGTTAAAACTATTACATATACTCAAGCTTGAGTAAACTCAGATTTCATATTTTATTTATAATATAGAAATAAGTAAGTACCAATAATATTTTCATTCGACATACATAGATTCTGATTATCTACCGGCAAAATTAATATTCTGCAGGACTAATAAATACGAATGGTTTCGTTAAACAAAGGTATTCAGTAAAATGCTAGTAAAAACAAGTGCCTTTATCAGAGGGCTGTTTTGGTATTGTAACACCACTTTTCCCCCCACCAACCAAAATACAAAAAAATATATTGTTGTCTGCTTTTATTTCATACTATTGTCACAATATGTATATTTAAATTTAAAACATCAATCTAAAATCTTAAACATTTTTGATTTTTGTTTTATCTTAATATTTCCCGATTGTAATTTTGAGCAGCTAAAGGTACCAAACTACCAGCTAGATCTAATTTTCTCTCAAAGACCACCCTCAAAGTTAAAAATATAAGCATTTGTCTACTCTAAATGGTTATTTAGACCTATGAAAGACAGAAAAATAACAAACATAGAATCTAAAACGTAGAAAAATAAGGTTAGGGACTATTTATTAATGTTTAAAATATAAAAATATAATATTATTAAAGTCGAAAATAAGGATAATAAGTATTAAGTTATAAAAATGCTATTAACCCAGCAGTATTAGAGGAAAATCTAAGATATTTATAAATTAAATTACACTTTTTTTTTTTTTTGAACTGATCTCGACGACGCCACAGGGATGCTTTCGCATTACTTCCATGACGTCGCTATCATTTATTTAAAGAAGGTAATATATATATATATATATATATATATATTTACATGTTAATAAAATGTTTTACAAGTCTGAAAAAGCCGGAGGGCGCACATTTCAATTATGTTGTAGATAGTTTCCAAAAACAAAGATGGCTGAAGGACCGATTTTTGCATTTTTTGATTCCTCGACTCTGCTTTGATACTCGCTAGTCTCGGTGTTTTCTAGGCTTGGATTGTTAGCCAGCCGGCCTCGATTCTCGTCCTATTATTGGCAGTTCCCTTCGATTGTTCTAGGGAGGGGTGCTTTACTGGTAGTATTGGTTTTCTGCATTCCTCTTACTTGTCCACGTCGATCCAGAATCTGTGTGGTGACTTCACTTGCGACCCTTTTGGCCCTCAATCACGATCAACGATGTAGCTGTTCCACAGGTATCCTACACTGGCCTCTGATCATGTCTGCCGCTGTAGTTTTAGACGAGGCGACGTGGTGTGGAGTGTTACCGGTCGTTGAGCTGATTCCCGATCTTCTCCTGGGATGGAATCTTCAGCCGTTTTCAAATTGGTGAAAGATTTTGGCCCTCTCTGGTCGTTGTTCGGTTTTATACAGTTTGACTTCTGTGCCTCCCCCGTTAGCCGGAAGCGAAATTCCGTTTCCAGTCGGCACCACGTGGAGGTGGGGGTAGGGCTTTGCCAACCATAATTTAAATTACCTTACCTTTAACCTAAGCTAACCTACTATATAAGCTATCTTTTAAGATTTGTAGCTATATCATTTTAAATCAAAAAAAAATGTGTGTGCATAAGACCACATGACAGAAGTGAAAACTTCAACAAGGCAAAATTATTAATAAGAAACACAGACACACACACAGACACACACACACACACACACACACACACACACACACACACACACACACACACACACACACACACACACACACACACACACACACAC